ATGACTTTCGACGGGGGCTTTGGGGGAGACGTGGGAAGTTTCTTTCGCATCTCAAAGCACCAGATATGGAGCACCAGATGCATTTTTGATTCCCATCCATCTCCTAAATGCAGAAAAGAAAGAACAGATCTTCGACATCCCACGTCTCGACACATCGACTCATCGGCATCCCACGTCCGAGCCACGGAGGTTGGCATTCTCGCTGATCGCCTGTCGTGAATCTCGAGATCGGTGGGGGTCGAGCAGATCGAGGATCGATGGGGTGGGTTGACCAATGACGTTCCTGAGACGAGTTGGACAAGTGAAAGGACCAGGATGAGCACGCTTTTCTTGCGAAGGGATGAGCATGGTCGCAGAATTGGGTGGAAGAGGCAACCGGAAAAGTGAGGGTCACGATTGAATGAGGGCTGTTCCGTTACCACAAATGCCAGGCTTCGATTGGACATCAACCAATCAAGCAGTGCAAACCCATGGAGCGGTTTGGCTCAAGACCCATATTAAAATGGTCTTGAATGGGATTTTCCTTCGCACTCGGACGAAGGCATAAAAAGGAGGGGGCTGGCTTTTGGAAAGGGAACCAACCCTTCCATACTCTTCCCAATTTTGATATGTGGATCTTGGAATCTTCTATGCAATGTCCAAATCTCAGATGTCACCACACATCTGCAAGTAGCGCGAAAAAGAGGGCCTGCTCTGGTAGCATGCCTTTTTGGTGCTGGTAATCTCCAAAACTTCCATGCAGTTCTCGTTTCCAGAAACCACCGAGGAACTCGGCTCCAACTGCCCCGGCCCTTTCCGTCTGGATGCCTTGCAGACGAACAAGACCTCCTCGGCCGGGAGCTCCTGGCCACCTTTGAGATCGTCAGGGCCATCCTCCTCGGACCACAGCGGGCAGAAGAGAGGCTCGGAGTCGCCCGAGCTCTCCGGCGCCCGAGCCGAAAGCGGCAGAGATCGCGATGGAAGAGACATGAACGAAAAGGGTGCCCAAGACAAGCAAGAGTGAGGGGGGATTCCCCGGAATCGATATGATGTCAGTCATTTTGGATGCCGAGACGCCACCAAAAAGATGCGCAATGGAGCCTTCCAATTGCACCATGAAGGAAACATCACAGACCAAACAGCTGCAATGTGCAGACCATTTTATCTCTTCATTGTGGAGTAGTTTATCAATACGCAGAAGTTGTTGAGAACAGGAAAGAAATCATGCTCGGACTAGTCGAACACCGGTTTGGACACGAACCGCTCAATATAGAGTCTTGACACCACGGATACCCGCGATGCATCCCAACAACTGGTCTGTTGAAAACAACACATGGTGTCACGGTTTCGTCTTCCTTTCGCACCCAAAAGAAACACATCTCAATGCAAAAACTCCAAGAAAACCACCACCTCCAATGTCTGTCTCGTCTTCATCGACACGAACGTCTCGCTGGTTGTCCGTCTCGTCTCCTGTGGAGCATTGTAGATGGCTGGTCGCTTCGGGAACTGCAGCCTCGGCACGGAGTCCGACCCGGCAGAGAGTCCGACCGGCTCCCGGTGGCCGGCTCCCGGCGACCGGAACCGGTTCCAAAAAGGCGCAAAAAGAAAACCCGGGAGGTCGGGGGAGGTCTGAGCTCTGATCCAATCCGCCACCCTCACCTGGTCGGTGGGGATCAACGCTTCCAAGCAACCACCGCCGAAGGCCTAGAGCATCAAAGCGCTCCCGGGACAAGGACAGCGTCACCTCGGTCCAACCGGCACAGCGCTGACGCTGTGGTGCGGTGCGGTGCGGTGCTGGGGTTTTCGTGGTATGGGATCCACGATCCAACATCTGCTCCAGTGTTTGGAAAGGGGGACCAAGAGGAGAAATGGACACCAAAATGGTGTACGTGCCGGGGGGAGGGTGGTTGGTTTTTTGAAGATATGAGACAGTGGTTCTTGGAACATTCTATGTTGATCTAATTAGATAGTTTTGCACAGTGATCTGCAAGATTTTCAGGATGTGAGCGAGTTGCGTGCTTAAAATAGACTCAGAAGGTGCTTTTGCAAGCTTCAGGGTGTAGTGGCGTTTTTGCAATGCAGGGAGTTCTCCTGGCCCGACATCACATCTCGTTTAGGCTCAGCCGGTTGATTCCTCATCCCTCAGTTTGACCAGCTGAACCGAAATCTGCCTGCTTTCCTTGGCTTCGCAACTCCAAATTTGTCCAGCTTGTTGATTGGACCTCCTCCCAATTGAAAACCAAAGTGGTCGGAGGGGTCTCCGACTGTCTCCCTGTTTCGGCCCCACGGCTCACCCAGTTGGGCTCGGCCCCCTGTTTCGGCTGAGCGGCAAGGCGGCCCTTCGCCACGATGGTGGCCACCTCCGACGTCCGAGGACCGTCGCCGGGGACGTCACCGGGGCAGCGAAGAGTCGGAGAAGTGAGAAGAGTCGAGCAGAGTCGCAGCCGTGAGTCGAACCGCTTCTCTTGGGGGGATTGGTTTGGATCTCGTGAAGCGATCGTTCGTCGCTTAGAATGATGGTATCTGATTGCACATGATTCCCTGTTTGCTGCAATCGTCCGAGTCCCTGTTTGTGTTTGGAAGAGCAAGCGGTTTTTTCCGTTCGGCAGCATAGATCCTGGAGTACATCGAGGAATGGAACCAATCCCCGGACACTTGGGAAAATTGCAATTGTCTTTGTCACAAGTTGACCTCTTTTGTTCTACTCTTTCAAGGGATCACGAAGATTGGATATCGACCACGTGTGTGCCTAGGACGACCCTTGACGGCTTGCGACGTGTCTGTGAAAATCACCCTAGCCAAATGGTTCACACGCCAAGTCGGTGGGTTGATGGGCGAGTTCTCCTTTGTCATTGCATCCCCATCCACTGTTTCTTGATGAACAACCTTCGGTACGACCTGGAACATCTCAGATCAATATAGGGTGGCTATATGGAAAGCCACCAATGGTGCCCAACGTACCTCTAAGAATTACCTCCAAGAATGAGGGCTTCGTGTCGGTGTTGATTCCGCCCGGTGTCCCACCGTCCCACCAAGGCACGTTCGAACCTCGGACCGAGACACAGAGTGTCAGGACGCGGATGGAAACAGGCGGAATCAAAGCATGGGCACCGGTTGATGACCGAACAAACTTGTGAATGGCTGGGCACCATTGCACACCATTGGATGATGGACTTCTCCCAAGTCGTATCATGGATCTTCATTCTACCCTATGTATCTCACCAACATCACTAGATGCCTTGGGGGGTCATGTACAGGTGGTTTAGGTGGTTTACCCCAAGCTTGTGATGGTTCAGGCATTTCCATACCAATCCTTTCCAGTATGTGCCACTAGAGTGCCTGCCAATGTCTTTCTATTCCTTTCCACTCGGCAACATTTCTAGTTCTGCAGGTCTCCGAACTAAAAAAGACACCCTTTTTGTGTAGGCAATAGGCCTTCGAGATGGATACCCCAGCCAGCCCGTGCTCTTTAATGCAAGAAACCTGGCCAAAACGCAAAAGAAGATCCTTCCAGGTGTTCATGTCCATCGACTCCATCGACCCCTGCATCTCACCCGACCACCCGACCACCCGACCACCATCCCATCAACCGCCCAAGAAACGCTCAGTGATCAAGGTGTGACCTCCGAAGTAGTCGCCCTCCACCAGCGTGGCCCGCACGATGTCGGGCGCCCCGGGCTTTTCACCTGCCCGCGGCCAAAGCCGTGAGCCGCGTGGAGGCAGTTGGGGGAAAAAAAATGGAGGAGTACTTTGGAGGAGTTCCTTTTGCGGAGAAGGAGTTGCTATACTGATTTAGCCAACTGGGGAGTGTTACTCATGTGGATCGGAAAAAGAAACACGTGCCTCAATAGGAGGGCTGTATACAAAGGTTGTCAAAAAGAACTTTTTCAAGCATTCGGCAAACGTAGGCAGCATGCGGCGAACTGCAACACTGCTAAGTGTTTTCTGCAGGCAGGTCAAACTCCGCCAACACCTGCAGCAAGATGTCAAAAAAGGGTTTGAGCATTGCCAACCTTTGGACATCAGAAATAACACCATTTGCCTCGAATGTCCTTGTGCCAATCCGTTTGGAGTTCGATGCCAGCGTCTGGGCCAGTTGAAAGAAAGCACAGGGATGCCCGACACATGCCGGCTGAGAAGTGGAAGGAGCGGCTGAGATGAATGGGTTCGGTCACCCAGCCGAATGGCCTCGGTGGGCTTGTTGATTTGAGGGGTTGGGGCACCCAAGTGCCCACTTTGCTTTGAGTTGTCTTGAAACTGCGAAATTGAGCTGCAGAACTTGTCCATTGAACTCGGAGCAAGGACGCGTAGGACGCTACGAACGGAGCAAAGGGCATTGCTACTAGGAGCAAGGACGCTACTTAGGGGCAAGAACGCTACTAGGAGCAAGGTGGCGATCGGGTGATCTTGTGTGACAACAGGTCTCCTTTTGGTTTCACACAAACAAGAACTCCTTGACTCTTCCAAACGAGATGTTGCAGATTGGCTCGCCACTCTCGACCAACCGGCCCACATGCGATGAATTCTCGCGACCCCTTCTTAGCACATTATGTTCTTTGGAATGGGCTCAAGACTCGGGCCTTGGCCTTTTGAAGGGACTCTTGAGCCTGAGCCTCTGTGAATTCTTTCTCAAGGTCCGGATCTGCAATACCTTCAAACCGTTCTGATCAAGAGGCATGTGCACTTTGGTCTGCTTCGGTCTCAACTCGTTTCTGTAAGATGGAAGTGACCTCGTCTTCCTCAATGTTCAACACCTTTCGTACTATGGATGTAAGTAGCTCTGGGCTGATTTGGCTGGCTTGGAAGGCCTACATCTGCTCGGAGAGGCTCCAAGAAGGACATGGAAAGAGCGACAAACCTCTGGCTAGCTGCTACATGGGGCCCTCTACGCATGAAGGCCGGCAAACCACATCATCGAAGGAGAGCAGAACCAAGAAGAATGGTTTAGCTTCCCAGCGCTGGTCTAAAGCAAAATACCTAAATCCTTGACACCCTTTATATGTATATATATATATCTAGTTGATCCATGTTGATACCATCTATTATATATACCACCAGTTGCCTCAAATGCTGACCTGAGCAGCACTCACCTGGAACGCTTAGGAGTCACAAAAATGCACCCTATCCGCTTCGCTTCAACCGCCGGGGATGGTCTTCACAGTCACAGGTGGGATGAGAACTGCCAGCATTCACTCAGCCCACGCCTGAAGGCCTAGACGATCTGAGGGTCCGACAGGAAGCTGAGTCTTCCGGGTCTTTTCCACGTCGGAACTGGTTTCAGACAGACCGGGCGGCCCACACCAGGGCCCAAACCAGTCGGCCACGCCGGCACCTTCGGGCGGATCCCTGGGGCCCCTCACAGGTCACCACTTGACATTCCCCGGTCTCAATGAGGAATAACGCTCTACCTAGGCCGGCGAGGCCGCGGGTCCCCGAACGAGCAGCGGTTTCGAGCATGTTTGAAGCATGTGTTGGTACAAAAGAAGCCGAAGAGTTCGCATGCACTTTCTGCAAAATTGCAAACAAACAAAAAGGGTTGCGGTGTCCAAAACCATGCTTTTACTAAAGGATTCTCCCTTTTTGTGGCTCATTGTGGGCTCATTGTGGGCTTCCCGGAGCTGGGCATGAAGAACTCGTTCCGTCTCCTTCCGTCTCCTCCGGCCATGCTGTGAAATCACATTCAATCCATCCGGCCTTGATGCATCTTCACCCCATCCCATCCCACCAAAGCTCTCCGAAATCACTGCATTCCCAGAGGCCCATTTCTCCCTGTCCTGGGTTGCTGGGCCCGAGTTGCGACAGGACGACTTTCTTGACGTGACCCAGTTTGCGTGAGAAGTGCACCACACATCCATTGGGAGGATCACCAGATCACCACACAGGTTCATAGTCCTTGCCTTCCTAAAGGCACATGAGTTCCAGGCCTGCCTTGAAAAAATGATGAGCTGGGATTCCATTAGGCCACTGGATGTGGGAGCGTCCTTGCTCCGTTCGTAGCGATGCCAGGAGCTAATAGCTTCTTGCTACTAATAGTAAGACCAGGAGCGCCCCGTTCGTAGCATCCTTAGCCTTTTCGTCAGTCTGTCTGTGGCCGATCCTTTCGGTGTCACGTTAGTCTCCCGGTGGGGAATGCGGGAGATCAGCGGTGATTCCCATAACAACATTCATGTGATTCCCATTGCCGGGGGTTCAGTACAACGTGCACGAGCCCGGCAGTATCGCTGCAGTACCTCAAAACGAAGGTCTCAGCTCCAACATGCGAAAACTGCCTGCCACTCACCAAATCCAGTCAAGAAGGCACCTATAAAGGTTGGGATGAGCCGGCACGTCCCTTCAGTCATTACCTCTTTTCACCATGATGTGTGTTTGCTAAGTGAACAACAGGGCCGCGTCTCCAGTCTTGGCTCCCAAGTATGGCTCCAGTCACCCTTCATGGCTCCCAACCTCAACCTTCCAAGCGACCTTGGTGGGTCTTTTGGCACCTGAAAACAACCAAGGTCGCACCAGACCCAGGTCGTTCCGACCTGCCTTTCGGAGAAGACTCTCTGCTCCTCTGCTCTGCTTGGGGCGATTCACAGGCTCCAAACACATATCAACACACCTATCACCTATCTGGCACCAACGGTCACCCCTCCCCTCCAAGAATGACCTCTCCTTAATTCGCTTCTTATTCATGAACGGTTTTCGCTTTTCGCTGTATGCCAAAGAACGACAGTCGTTGCCCACGAATTCGGTGCTTCGGACCACGAAGGTTCGGCTCAAACTGCGGTCGTTCCTCTCTGCGGTGTGCGGTCTGGGCATCGCATCGGGGGAGAAGATCAACTGAAGCGGTTCTCTTCCCATCGGTCCGGACCCAAGCGTCGCACGAGCACCTGGCCAGGCTTCCACGTCCTGGCCGATGGCTTTTTGGGTCGCGCGGACGCGACCGCGGGACGCGACCGCGGCCTCGGGCTTTTTGGGTCGCGCGTTTTACAAAGGGAAGACCTGGAGCCCTGTCTGCAGGGTGGTTTTAGCTTTTGGTTTTGGAAGAAGGCTTGGTGGAAGGAAGACATTGGTGTCATGTTGAGGGTTGGACAAGATTGTCAGTGCATGCGTTTGAATGCATCAAGGTGCTTGTAGCAATCAAATCGCTTGCTGTGAGGTGTTAATGAGCCAGCTCTTTGTTAGGTAGCTTGGAAGAAGATGGAAACCAACCACCACTATACTTGGTGACCAGTCTCAGTCTGTGCATGCACGAAGATTTGCTTGGCGAAGTGGTGAGCATCTAAAGCAGGATAAGGAGGTTCGTTTGCCCTTTGATCCGTTGCAGTCCCATTTGGGTTTGCTGATGACGACCCTTTGTGCCCCTTCCAACTGCCGAACCAAGAGGACACTGTCGGAGGTGGGGTTGTCCGACTTAGGGGGTTGTCTTCTTCGAGAGGTGAACCGAAAGGTGCCAACAAGGTGAACTCCCTGCAGCTGGCAGGGTGGCCAATGAATTGCCTATCAATCCGCTGAAGGAATCAACCTTGCAGCCTCTTGCAGCCTTTTCTTTATCCATGTCATTTTGTTCAAAGGACGGTGCCCCCCCAACCAAAAGGTCCAAGGCACATCCGTTCGCACACCACCACAACTGCGAACTCACCGCTGACCGAACCGCCTGCGCTTCAGCTCTTGAGCCACCTTCGGCAGCTCGGACTTGGGCAACCTCGGACCGAGAGACAGGCGTCGGCCATGTGTTTTGGACCAAAAGGCCACGTCCATGGCATTTTGGTCCGATCGAAGATCTGCGGGAACAAGGGGTGCCTCCCGGCCTTGGAGTCTCAAGTCACCGTGTGGAGGAAACCTCCATCGACTTGGTCGGGCCACAACCGAAAGTCTGTGCCGCTACCGATCACAGAGCCGACCCGAGGCCGGGCGAGGCCGGGCTGCGGGCGGGCTTCGGTCTGAGATCCATAGACGGCCGTCTGATCTGATTAGAAACAAGAACCCCCAATGTACTAGACATAGGAGATCTCTACTTGAGGCTTGACTGTGCTTCGAATCTACTTCAACCGTCCATTCCCATAAAGATAAAGAAAAGGTTTTCTCTCACCAGTCTGAGTCACCCCGTTCACCAGCACAGCCCACTATATCGCCCAGAACGAAACGCCGGGTGCCCGGGCTGCTTTTTAAAGAGGGGCACCGAGGAGAGGAAGTCAATAGTACGTTCAAAGGATTGCTGTTCCTGGCTGAGAAGACCCGCCAGTGCTTTGAGCAATCGACTTGGACAGACGGAACATGGCAGAAAGGTGAAGCCTTGGAAAGAAGATGAAAGAAGCAGGACTTGCCATCGGATCGAGGCAGTCAATGGTATGTGTTTGGTGTAAGAAAAGTATACGAACGAAGAATGGCGGGTGGTTCGGATGCTGTAGGATGACTTGGAACCTCGAACATTGATGTAAGACTAAGGGGGGACACAGCCAGCGACCCCTCATCAGTGTCCGTTGGGAGGGAAGTTGCAAAGTACCACTTACCAAGAGCATGACCATGTGGTCCAGTGGTACCAGTAGCTTCTTGTTATAGTAATGCCAGGAGCTACTAGTAGCGTCCTTGCTCCTAGTAGCGATGCCCTTCGTTACTAGTAGCGTCCTTGTCCCTCTAGTGATTCGGTTGCGAGGCAGAGACGCCATCAGACGTGGTTGACGCCGTTGAAATGGGTTCGAAGTTTTCACATCGTAAAGAAATAAGAGCTTCACCCACTGAAATGCTGGGTTTGGGGGGCAATGCGGCAGGACAAGTGAAAACCCCCAATATTTGCCCAAAACCTCGAAGATGATACAACGAACATACTACAAACTTTGAATCGGCCAAAGGTTCTCAACTGAAATAATTACTGCTCTCACCAACTCATCATGTCGCTTGGTGCTTTGTACATCACTCAAACCTCATCAATGCAGCTGGTGAAACTCCCTGACCTCTCCGTGCGCCGCCGCACCCGCGCGCGAGGCCTATTTCGGTGCGGCACACGAAGGAACGGCGAAACGGCGGCGCCTCGCCATAATCTTTGGGGGCCTGAAAAGAGCTGAAAATCCGCTGCAGCCTCGCCGTCCGCAGAAAGGGAGTTGAGGAAAGAGTGTGACGTCAAGGACGTCCATCTCCAAATCATCTAGCGTTTGGTTGTGACCGTCCCTTCCCAACTGTGTCTTGAACAAATGGTGTGGGAACCAATTCCACAAACCAACGAACGTCTCAAGTGATTGGGATCTGGAGATGTAAAGAAGCGAAGTCTCTCAGGATCTGTGACCCGAAACCCGACAAAACCAGCTTGCGCGCAGTGTACCAAAACCCCAAACACCTCGAAAATCGAAGATTGGATCAGCTCGTTCTCGTCGAAGTCTCCCCGGCGCTCAGCTCTGGTGATGTCTTTCAGTCTTAAAGCGCACAGAAATTCCATGAGCAATGTGTGACTCTTAGAATGAAAAAAATCTAGGAACAAGAAGCTACTAGGGGCTCCTGGCATCGCTACGAACGGAGCAAGGACGCTACTAGGGGCTCCTGGCCTTACTACTAGGAACAAGAAGCTAGTAGTAACAATGAAGCAATTTGGTGATACTTCATCATCTTTCATCCATCTCCTGGAGCGTTAGAAAGAGAGAGGGAGAGAGAGAGAGAGAGGTCCCACGGTGCCGCCTGAAACAAGCATCATGACTTCACTGTGTCCCATTCACTCACTCGCTCGCTCGCACACTCGTCTCTCTCTCTCTCTCTCTCTCGCTGTGTCTGTGTCTCCCCAACAGAGTCCGCGCCTTTGCGTACAGCCTTGCCAGCAACCGCACGCCATCAGCGAAATCGGATTGGCACGCGGTTTCAAACGCCCCAAGGGGGGTCACTGGTTGACCCGAAAAAAATGGCCCAGATGGCTCTCCAGCGAGGGGTCACGGGTTGAGTTCTGTGATGGATCTCCTCTTCCAAGTTCTTCGTTGCTTCAGATCTGCTCTCAAGTCTGGCCGGTGTGATCAGACAGTCTGCGGTATTCGAATCAATGTTGAAAAGACAAAACTGTGGCCTTCGTTGCGGTACATGAGGAATTGTTGTCTTTTGTTGCTTTTGTTGAAGGGGATTGCTTCTAGTTCTGTCTAAGACTTGGGACGAGACTTGGTCGTGCAGGGTTTGAACCGGTTGGATGCCAAGAAGTGACGCTGAAGGATTTCCGACCCCAACCGAGTGGTCCGACGCACCACATGTCTCAGCGCTTAGAGCTGTGGAGAACGGCGAGGGCGACGGCGAGAACTGGAGTGAGGAAGGAGGTGAAGAAGGTGAGGAGAAAATGCTTCGACAGCTAGATTGCCCAACGCAAAGGGTGTTCTTGCAAAACAGAAGAGTAACAACAGCACTCCGCAACATGAAGATATCAGCTGTCAGAATACAAAAAAAAAATGGATTTGCGGATTTGACTGAAAGTGCACGTGTTTCTTGGACCTCCTTGACTAAAATTTGTATATGTCTGCTGTGGTTTGGAGGCAATATGCTGGAAACTACATGATATGTGGACAAGTGATGTTGGAATCGTTAAGTCAGGGGGTCGCTTCGGCCGCTCAGTGAACACCTCCTGCTATACCATGACGGAGCTGAGTTGTGGCCAGGATGATTTTCGAAGTAGACAGAATGGCCGTGGGGATTCGTCGGTTGTAGTCCCTTCAGATCGCTTAACAAGTGCCTTACTAGTAGTAACAAGAAGCTATTAGAAACAAGTGCATCGCTACTAGTAACAAGTGCCTTACTAGTAGTAACAAAAAGCTATTAGAATTAGATTTGATGTTTAATTGAATTAATAGCTTCTTGTTACTACTAGTAAGGCACTTGTTACTACTAGCGTGGCACTTGTTACTAGTAGTAACCAAAAGCTATTCGATGAGCCCATCCTGAAAACCTTCCCGTACCGAACGGTGCCCGGGTGGAGCGGCCAGGACCATCCTCCCATCGAAACGAAAGCCGGATCGAATTCAGCGAATCCTTTCCAGCAAGGATGTAGGCTCTGAGTTTCAGCTAGCCAGCGGCCAATTCGGTGCTTTTCACCCAGCTCCAAAGAAGATATGATTCTTCAGAGTAAGCAAATGTGTACGTTTTTGTACCTTCTACGTGTGCAACATACAGCTAGCTCCTAGGTCTGTTCTGCAAATCTGGGGAGAGGAAAAACTGCGGCAGCATTGGCCTATCGGAACCCATGTCAAAGCAGGCCACCGTTTGGGCCGCACCTCTTTTTCGGGTTCCGGTTCCTGCGCGCGCGGAAGTCTCTCAGTCGAGCAAGGCTCGGGTTATACGAAACTAGTGTCCCGAGGACATGCGGAGTTGAGGGCACAAAATCTTCCTCACTCAGATCGGTTTGGTGCTTTCTTCCTGGCGCCGAATTTGCAGACACCAAATGCCACAGGCGTCTGTGTGGTTGCCGACGTCCCACATGTTTGCATCTGGGAACCTCACGTGAAAAACTCATGTGCGTAAAGAAACTCCTACGTCCTACGTGTCCCACCACGAGTTCTTTGCGTCCCTCTCTCCTGTCGTTCCGCAACCGGGTCCCGTTGGATCGAACCGGCTACGCGGACCGGACCTAACGCTCGGAGCGTGACGAACTCCCGTCGGAGTCGTGAGGCCACGGTGCATGTGGTTGTGCAATGCACGGACCGGGAGAGAAACCCCTTCGAGACGGCGGCCAGAACGTCCGACGAACCACACCCAGTTGTGACCTGTAAGATCCATCACATTCACAGACCCTAAGAAGGGTAGCTGTTGTGCACGACGGCGGACGGCAGTGGCCAAAATTCCACTTAAGGACGGATCCCAAAAAAGATGAGCACTTCCAAGGGCTACTGACTACGCGCTGTCATGACTGCGCGACGTACCATGTCCACTTCTCGACACCCATCGGTGCCGTTTCAAACTTCGCCGGCCAAGCCCTTTGGTCTTGGAACTCTTACCTGACTGTCACGCTGCGCGGGCCGCGCTTGGCTGCGGAACCACCCACCCTCGAAGCGCAGTTCCGCGCTGCCCACGGCGCGGTGACTCGAAAGACGCGTTTCAAACAGGTCCTTGCAGAACGCTCTTTGCACGGCTATTTGTTTGTCGCCTGAAAGTGCTCATCGAGTTGATGTAGATAGATGATTTGGGGGCGTAATGGACCCCCAAATGGAGAGAAAGGTGAAGCCTTTTGAAGCGGTGCTCCAAGACCTCGTTTTGAAGCTCTATTTAGATACTACTTGCGTCACATCCTTTTATGAAAGCGTTTTGCTGGTTCATCTCAGATCAGTCGGAAGACGAAGGTAGAATAAAATGCCACCTACTCCGAAAAAGTCCCTGGTTTGGAAAGAAGATCCAAGTCAGACCATCAAACTCTTTGGATTTTCCGGAGCCTGGTGAGTCGTCCGATCCGTCGCCGCTGAGTGGGCGTCCCAGTGACTGCTGCTGGTACTTGTGGCGCTTACAGGCTCCGGAGTCTCCTGGCTGACCGGTCGTCCGGGTGAAACCGAAAAACACTTCTGAAAGCGCAAAGGCAAACAAACGCCACAGGGTGAACAATGGAACATGAATGAAAGGCATGCGCCAAGCTCCTACCAAACAGCGGAGGCATCCTTGGTGGCTGGATTTACAACTTGTACTTGTAAGTTAACCACACTGACAAGTTTCTTGGTGTCCCACATGGGCTTGGTTGAAATTCTGCAATGATGTGCTGTCCTCTTGCAAACTCTGGATTCTGCTTGCATGCTTGTTGGATAGAGAGAAAGGTGGGCTGTTTCGGGCACGAAGACTTGCCACGTCGCGAGCGTCTTCGCCGAGAAAGGATTCGGCCCTGGTCACCTGGGTAAACGCTGCCATGATCTTGCTCCAGTTGTCGGCAATCTGCCTGCGGTTCGGCAAGGTATGCCGATCGAGGGCGGCTCTCACTGGAGGGCAGGAACAGAGGACGAGCAACCGAGCACACGTGCTTTTTGGAGCTGTGGAAATTGAAATGGACCAGGGCAGAGCACATGAAAACGTACAGCCTGGTGTGTATGTGAGGGCAGGAGGAGTACCTAAGGATTCGTTGGTTGAAAGAGTATTCCACCTGCTTCCTTCCAAGCCCGTTTGTGATTTTCACGTTGCGTTTCGCCTTGCAAGCATCAGCTGGAGGCACGGTCCCATCAGGGATTCTCCGTCTCCCACGGTGAACTGGAAGACTCTTCCCCATCCGCCATTCATCCGTCGGTCACGGGCGCTGCGGGTGTGGATGGCTCGGGTAAAAAAGAACAGAACCGAGCCCAAACAGACCGCCGTTGGTCCCAAGGTAGACTGGTCGATGTCCCTTCTGCACGAAGTCCTTCGGTCTCTCACAAAACTACTAGCGTCCTTGCTCCTAGTAGTGATGCCCTTGGTACTAGTAGCTTCTAGCTGCTAGTAGTGATGCCCTTGTTACTCCTTAAATCCAGCAACACGCGATCCCACAAAACCCTCGACGCAAGTCCCCGCCCGTACAGAGCGCGGTTTTCGCGGTCTCACCTTCCCTTGGGGTTGACCATCTGACACTGCTCTGAGCAAGCACGGTGGCGCCCGGACCGGCCTGTAGATGAAGTAGACTCCAACCATCAGCAACAATAGCCTGGGAAGACCAGCAGCGGCCAATGCGCGTCACCCGAAAAAAGAAGGCCAGTTGAAAAAGGTGGCCAGAGTGCACAATAGAGAACTAACTAACACTCCAAAGGTTTCAAAGGAACAAAGGTTGAACTGCACACTTTGAACCCGGCAAGTTGAAGAACATGTCCCTCCACTCCCTCCACCCCAAACCACCTCGTCCGCCTCAGAGACCACGCTCACTGATCACATCCGAGAGACCAGTTCGCAGCGTTCGGTTCACACCGTTCGTTCTCCGGTTCACACCATGTTGCACAACAAAATCATGGCAGTGGGATAGATGCGAACTGATCGATTGATCGATGTAACGTGATTGTTGGAATGATGGTAAATGGTTGCAATGAGCCTTCAAGGAAATTGTCCGTACGTTGAGCAGTTCTCCACAGGGGTCTTCCTGTGAAACCACAATGACATCCTCCGTCAAGCACCCTTATTTTTGGAAGGTCTGCACCCCTGAGGTCTTTCAAGGAAACGAGATGAAACGCGTAAATCGTCTTCCTGAGATCCATTTGTGTGTGTGTATCTTTTTCCATGTTCCCAACGCCGGGACGTTTGACTGTGGGGTTTGCACAAAGGTATGTCCCCATGTCCGCCTTCGTGCCATCGCTAGTAGGTTGGAGGCCATTGCTAGTAGGGTCTGAGACCTCGACCTCGGACCAACCACGAGGGTGTCTCTGAATCTCAGCCGCACCTGCGCACTACCGAAAAGGGGAGCCACCGGCACTGCCGGATGCCCCAAACACCTTCTGATAGCTTCGAGGTTGCAAGAAGGAGACTCCTCATGGCTTCTCCTTTCCGCTTCGCCGCCGCCCCCCCAAAAAAGAAGAACAGCACCAGCACAAGAAAGCCACATCCGGGCAACCCAAAACAAACAAAAAATGCGCCCATTGCAGGTGAACCACATCCACTATTTATATGAATGCACCTGATGGCTTCTCAGGTAGAGTCACCATCTTCAACCTGACTATTCCTCCTCTTTCGCTCCGAGCAGCGTCCAAATGTCAAAGTACTGTAGCATGTGGATGACAGCCTCGGTGTTCACCCGAAAATTGGAGAATCGAGTGCTTTAGCCACTTGCCTCTGTTCCGTATACCCCGCCGTTCCCGACCCTCACCCGCCCTCCACCCCCTCCCTCTGGTCCCCCTTTAAAATCTCACACATCCGATTGGGACGAGATGGATGCCTCTCGCTAGCAGGCTAGCACCAGCAAGAGATTTGAGCTTCAGGCTGGCCTCTTTTGAGGAAGGCACCGCCGAACGATTCTTGCACCCATCCACGCAAAGCCTCAGGTGTGACACCTCGAACAAGATAGAAAAACATAGCATGAATCATCCCAACCCCAAAGAAAGATTTAATTTCAAAAAAAGAGGTTGTACTCTCTCTCTCAAGAACTCACATAGAAACTGTGCGTGTTCTATTCCGGCCTGTCAAGGAAAATCCTCTTCCCATCCTCTTCGAACGTCCACTCATGTCATGCTCCGCCCGTGTCAACCCGGTCCATCCTCCGCATGCCACGTCGTGCGGATTGGGTCGTCCCGTCGATGAAGGACGACGCATCAGTCCCGGTCCATCCTGCGCTGTCACTGTGCGGTTTGGGTCTCCCAGGCGTAGAGGCCTCCAAAGGACCCTGCGACCTGCTTCATGGACCTCAGTCCAAACGTGATACGGCGCGGGGAGCGGAACTTCCGGGGGGGCGGTGTTCCGCGAGGACGAAGGCTTTTGGAGTGGGGGTGACAACACCCAAAAGCGTTTGGGATGACTTGCATTTACAGATTTAAGGGCACAGTCTCCCCTTGATATACATATAAAAAGGGATGCAAGTGATAGTACTTCCAAAAGGTGCCTGAGCATTCTTCTGACGGACCCCAAATGAGGATACCAGCTGCATGGTGCCATGTACCTCATCGTTTCCATGGGCTGACTGGGAGTAGATCATCTGATGGTCGTGGCAGTCCGGAGCAAGCATGGTCGCCAGCTAATTACCATGATGAGGGCAGACTTGATCACTGACGATGTGGTGCGATCACCGCCTGGCGGGTTTCCCAAAACAGAGCCCAAGCTTCTACACCATCACGGTGGTGCAGTGGTGCTCAAAATGCGCAACACTCACCAACTAATGTCTTTTCTCATCACCACCTCCTCTGCTTGCGCCAGCCCCCGCAGTTGAAAAGCTCGTTTCACCCGCCAGCTCGGCCCGGCACAGCTCCTCGCCCCGCTTCTGGCGAAGGGTCCGATGGTACTCCTCGCATGAAAACACGCCCCGCGTCGCTCGTGACGCTGCGTGTCCTCCTCCCGCCGCCGGCGGGACGATGCGTGACGATGCGACGGGATGTGCAACACATGATGCGAGGAGTGAGAAAGCCTTCCAACGAAGAAGCCGGTTCAACGGTTGGACTGAACATGTGGCTGTGGGTCAAAAACAAGAGACCAGCGGTTTGGACCAGGGGCTTGGACTGGCTCCCCTATCGGGGAGACCGGGCGCGGACACCCCGGGTGACGTTCGGATCGATCCAGGGATCGATCCAGCAACGGCAGACATCCTGAAAAAGGACTCAACGAAAGAAGACCCCTAAAGACCCCATAAAGCTTCCTACACCTCCAAACACATCCAAGACGTGGCCGAATGCTTGGGGAAAAGTGGCCTCTTTGGTTGAAAAGGGATGGCCTCATACAGCGTCCGGAAAGCGTGTGGGGGTGCTCCACTCCATCAACAACTAAGACCAGACTCACTCAGAATAGAAGTACAGCGCTTTAAAGGAACATAATGGTATCCTCAAGATACTATCTTGAATTAGAATATTACAATAACAATAACAATAAGAGTAATACAAAACGGAGGTTTTTTGACTTTGAGTCCCTTTGGGTTCAATGGCATCCGGCCATTTCATCAGGTCGCCCTCCAGATCGGTCGCCGAGCAGCTTTGAGCCGATCGGTCATCGACATCCCTGGCGTCGGCAGCTGGCTGTGACCGAGGTGAAGCTGGTGGTGTGGCCGAATAGATGATTCTGATTGTCCAAATCGAATCAACAAGTTGGACATTTCAGTTGATCTTGGCTTTTACCACCCTGGAGTTGTGGGGATATCCTCGAACCAGAGTGGTTCTGGCCACAGTCATTAGCGGAGAAACTCCATTGTTGACAAAACACATCCATGGGTTGTACATGGGTTAGAAGCAAAAATTGGGTTTCAGCTAAGGAGGTCTTGCAAGATGACTGGCAGACTTACCAACCTCTGCCTTCGTGAAGAGGGGTGCTCTAGCGGCTAGACGTTGCAGGCAATTCCCATGTCTTTTGAGGTGACAGCACCCATGCATGAATCTTGGCATGGATTCGCTTACAGAACATGTTGCACGCGACAGCCCGCTGTTTCGCTTCATCTCGACTTGTCCAGTCCCTCGGTGTTCGAAGATGAAACAGGACGGGAACAGAACTGCCGGGCCCTGGTGGCCCGGGCCTGGTGGCCTGAGACTCACTCCCCTGCAGCTCCCCCAAAGTGCAAGTTTCGACGCCAAATTTTGATTTGACAAAGTCACGCAACAACTTCAAAAATGGATTCGGGCCCAGCCCAACTGGCGATTCTTGAATATCCCGATGGTCTGGACGCCACGAGCACGCATAGAATGCTGAAGGTTGCTTCAGTTTCCCAAGAGCCAGTGGTTCATCAGGCAAATCTGGTGTCATAAGGCTAAATAATTGGCCTCATCCCGACCTGAAAAAATGTTGAATACTTGGTTCTGCAGAAAATTCTAGGCTGGATTTTGTTGGATTCACTGATTTGTCATCTCCCTTCATCTCCTTAGTGCCACTCGCTATCCTTCAAGTGTTCACAAAGTGTTCTCAAACCAAACCGAATCCACGGCATTTGAACCCCAGAGTTCACACCCAAACAAAGTTGAATGTGACATGCCAAACCCAAAAGTGCCAACACACGCCTTATGCTTGGCTGGGCAAGAATTTTCCACCCGATCTTGAACCAAAGCAGCCAAAACAACGCAACAAATTGTAACACTGCTTTGGATCACCACTCTTGGCACAAGCTGGTTATATTACTTTGGGTCGGACAACCTGAGCGGTTTTCACATCTCCTGAACGTTTCAAAGTAGATTGGACCTTTTGGAAGAGGAACCAACTTTGGCGTCACCCGTACTCTACCAAGACGCACCCTTTAACGGATCTTCGCAAATACATCTGAAAGCGAGGAGAAACAAAGGGCACAAGTCATCTTAAGATCCCATTCAATGTCCTTGTTAGAGTTGGCGAAGTTTCAAGCAAAACCACATCTGTGGATCTCACTTGCCTAAACCTTACCCTCTTCAAAAAGAACTGATTGCCCGACGCTTTCTCCGTCCCTGTCTCTCTTTCAGACACTCCAACATCTTTGCCCTGGGACATTGAAAAAATACTAGACGACGAGTGGCCCGAAGGCATTTTTCATCACGTAGGAAGTCAGAGTGTGAGTTATCTGTTAAGTGTTCAGTGTGAAGTGTTTAAGTCGAGTGAGTTGAGGTAGTGTGTGGGTCTCTGTGTGTGTATCTATGTCCGTGTGTAAATGAATCTCTGTATGTGTGTGTGCTCGAGTAAGTTGAGGCAGTGCGTGGGTCTCTGTGTGTGATGTGTGTGTATGAGTCCCTGTCTGTGTGTGTGTCCATGTCTGCTGCTGGTGAAGGTCTTCACTGTAGATATAGTGAACGAAGTAGCGCGCAGGCCTCCCAAACCCCCCACCGCCAAGCGGTGACAGCCCAGCTCATCGTCGTGAGCATTTGAGCTGCTGGTAAGGGGAGAAGCAGCGTGCACGCCTCCAGGAAATCTCACTGAAAAAACGAGCTGGAATGAAGGCAGAAAATTGCCAAGGCACGTACGCAACAAGTTTGTCGAAGCAGTGACCTGTCAGAGGAGATGCGCCCATCGATATACGATCAGAGGTAACGTTTCCTTCACTCCAGGACACAGCTTTTCTAGGATGTAGTTAACCAACCACTATGCTTGTCATTGACTAAATGACTGCCTCAAAGAAAAACGTGACAAAGTAGCATGAGGTGACACACAGCAGGCACTGCAGATGTTTAGCGTAGTCTCGCTG